TAGGGCCAGTCCGTTTCTGGACACCTGATAATAGCAAAAAGTTGATTTTAGCATCAAATCGTAGAGCTCCATGTGTAATACAACGTACGAAAATTTTATTAAAATATACAGGGTGGTTTCAAAGTTATAACCCTAAACGTTAATTTCTAGGTACCCCTTTGACCCCCCATAACTCCGTTAGGGGGCACATTAGGAAAAAAAATTATAGGAAGGACTAGTTTTATTTTGACCTCCCCTATACACTCCCGAGAGATTAGGAGGTACTTACCGGACACCCTGTATATTTAAATGTAAAATTGTTTAAAAAAAATACATTGTACTGATTGTACCGTTTTTCTATTTCCAATTCAGTTTCATATAACCCGTTGTCCAAAAAATAAGGTGAATTTGTTTAAAAATAAAAAATCTTTATTTATGCATCTCTAAAGTTTTCGTACCATTTGTAAACATTTTTTTGCGACATAACCTCATCACTAAAGGCCTTCTGTAACATCATCAACGTTTCCACGGCAGAATATTTAATCCGCAAAAAAAATTTAATGAAAATTCTACTCAACAATATCAGACAGTGAAAATCGATAAACTCATTTTCGTATGTTTACAAAAAGACCAGTAGCTCTGCAGCAATTGAATATATTGACTTGAAACTGCTTAGATATTAAGGACAGTACTAGCAACTTACAAAAAATAATTGCTTGCTTTCATAATATCCGCGAATTTTAAATACCTAAGTAATTTACCTTATTTCTTAACATTCCAAGAACAAATCTTTGTTTGAATTTACCTTTATGTACCATGTAATTTAATAAATTATGCCACTCGTGTGATATTCATTTTGATAATTTTAAATGCATATTGGTTGCTGGTAGGCAATTTCTACATCAGGAACGTATATTTTGATAACGTGGATATTTTTTGCTTCTGCATTTTTTTTAGTAATTACCTACATAAGTAAATATAATTGTTCTGTAAATGGGTAACATTTGAGCAATGAAGCTATTATTATTACGTCAGCAGATAAATATAATTTTAGGATATATACCATTGTACTCACATGTCCGTGCTTGTCCATTTCGTTGTTGGTCAGTTTAACCTTCTCGAAGGACACCACTTGCTTCCTGAGCTGCTCCCCGGTGTAAGGTGAGTCAGGGTGAGCGTAGATCCTGCAAGGAGCGGGAGGATCGGCTTTACCCGCCACCAGCCAAGACGATCGGTGATAGGCGTACCGATAGCGTTTATTGTCGACGGGGACGATGTCCAGGAGCACCGCGTACCTCTGGTCAGAGCGGATCCCCGTGAAGGACACTCTCACTGTAGGGAACATTCTCCTGAAAGAAAAAAAGAGTAGATAAGATTGTAGATAAAAAAATATAAGAGTGTAATAACGAAAGATTTTCGTTTGGTGTTATCACCTGTCAATATTTAGCGGAATTGCGATTGAGTGGCGACCCACCAACGGGGAAATAAGAAATGAGAGACCATTAGAGTCTCCTCTTCACTAAATTGCCTTTTCTTCTGGCTAAGGCGTTACAAATGGGAAGTAAGATTGAAATTTTTATTAATTGCGTAACATCCTTCATAGCTGGCGTGCAATAAATTAATACTTTCATCGCAATCAGTCGCCTTTAAATTGAATTTATCCAGCCCGGAGGCCACTCTCATAAGCCCACTAATGAGGATGGGTCGGAAGGGAAACGTTATTTATGGAGCTTCTGTTGTTCGACTTTTATTTCTGTTCGTTATGATCCGTTTTCACAGCAAAAGTGGAACTGTTTTACTCGTCCATAAAATCATGGATTTATTTACTTTATTATAAACAGGAAATATTCTTAATTTAATCTTCGGTCTTTGACACAATTATAATCCAGACCCATTATAAAATTTTACCACGGCAGTCTTTCTATAGCAAGTAATTTTGTGGAGTCCAATGAGTAATAATCCTAAGACAATAATCTTTTCGCATCTACACGTACTTAGGAAACACCCTGTATAACTTACAAATGTTTAAACGTACTAAAATTCTGCAAACTTTTAATACGGGCGGGTAACAATTCGGATATTTAAAGCCCCCTTCCTAGAAATTCGCAACGAACTCAATAATTCAGTAATGGAATTAAATTACGCCGACAAGGGTTTGTCACATTTTCTGACAACTCTCATGTCGCGAAACGATTCGCTTTTATTATTTACCCCGCCTCTGGATAACGAGGAACCGATGCATTTTTTATGACATTTCAGAGAAGTCAAAGAGAACGGAGAATGCGCTGGGCGAGGCCCTCATTCCGATTTAATTGACTTTTTTGGTGATATTTGAACTGCATGCTAGTTTTTATTCGGTCAATCACGTCAGTGGTTGCTTGACGTATATTTTTAACTTTGTAACGTCATTATTTCTGCGAAGGGTAAGTACCTATATGGCTACAAGGATTAATACTTTCTGGTAAAACACGAGTATTTTTAACACCGGATTATAAAAGATAATAATGAAATCATTTAATCACAGCAATTATTAAAATTAATTCCATTTTCTAAAGGCTTTAGAGTCACATCACGTCAAATGGACCCCCCCATATTCAACATTTTTTTTTTGTAATTTTTCATGAATACAAAAAGAAACAAAAAAGACCTAGAAGATTATCATTTTTAATTCTACTTTTTTACAAAAATAACAACATGTTTTAATTCAAATGAATTTCGCCTAACTTACTATACTTATTTTATATTTCACGATTTTCTGGCTTTAATGAGGAATCTAGCGCGCCTCTAATCAGCACATATTTGGCAACACTGTGAAAAATTATTCATTTTGCGACCAGCAACTGGTGTGGAAAAATCTGCTTTGGATAGCGAACGATAAATTGCATTTGAAATAAATATTAGCTGAAAAGTAGTATATGTACAGTACCTGCCTAAAGTATGGAATAAATTCAGTAAAAACGAAACAAATTTTTTTGGGGAAAAATCCTCGAACAGGTCGATTTTTAATTTAAAAAATACATATTTTAGCATAAAAGGCGATTTTCAACCGTCATTTGTTTTCGAGTAATGACGTCATCGACATTTTTTTTTAAATAGCAACCCCCTATTTCTTTTCTTGATTATGAAAGATTGTTTCATTGTCGATCCGACAGTATTAAAATGTTGCCATCTTACATAGACGTTGATCTTACTCTTACTGTAGGACTCTATCCTCATTATTATGTTCATTCCCTTTTCCCCTTTCTTTATTTTTTGACTTGTGTAAATACTTATGTATACCTAGCACCAATAAACTAAACTAAACTAAACTAAACTAAACTAAACTAGGAAAGTTTTCGAGTAAATGACGATTAAATGTTAGAAAACGTAAATTTTATTCATTAAAAATATAACAATTCCTATGTCAAGCCAATAAAATTCATTAAAATGTCGATGACGTCATTACTCGAAAACAAATGACGGTTGAAAATCGCCTTTTGTGCTAAAATATGTATTTTTTAAATTAAAAATCGACCTGTTCGAGGATTTTTCCCAAAAAAAATTTTGTTTCGTTTTTACTGAATTTATTCCATAACATCCACAAAATTTAGCTTCAAAACTTTATCAGCAGCTTTTATACACTTGGGACATTACTGTTGATAAAAAGTGGATATGCCCTTTTTTGTATTGGTCTTCAATCTTTTAAAATATAAAAATTTTGATGCAACTATTGTTAAAATGCATGATTTTGATATTCGTTAGTTATCATATAAAACATGCAATATACAGCTTATCCTTCTGTGTTAATAATGCATATACTATTATGTGGACAGTGGCAATTATTTTCGGCACTATTAATAGACGGAATTGCACAAGGTGTCTACAAAGAGAGCGGAGGTGAAAGAATAATGGATTTCGGTGCAACCTGTGACTTTTACTAATGCCTGTGTATGTCGGTGGAAATAGTCGCACTTCAAAGTGCTGGCAATCGGCAAACAGACAGGAGGAAGAACGAGCGTCCTTATGGACGGCGTACAACGCACAATTAGGCGTCCGCGAGCATGACGAGACGCTCGAATTCACCAGGTGACGTTGCCTCGCCGGATTGATTCATTGCCAGCGCCGCGGTGCCAAATGAGTTTGTTGTCTGTTTTTATACAACTCCACGGACGTGTGGGATTTGCTTCGGGAAGGCGAGGTTCTTACAGAAATTAAATTGTATGGTAGTTTGTTTCAAGTTATCAAGAAAACTGAATCTGTAGACACGACACAAGAGGAACGATTATGATATCGATATTGGGCAAAAAAAAAAACAAGAAATAAATACGCTTTTGGGGCGGCACACCTGCTTGTAGCTAATAGCGAATCGTGACGGCATTGTATTAGCGTTGGTTCGTTCTTTTTATTGTTTTTTCATAAGAATGTTGCATCATAAAGGAAATATATTCTATATTCAGCGATGCAACCGAGGATCCAACTACCCCCGACTTACCCAGATACAAAACGCCAGAACTGAAAGGTAATCACTAATACGTAATCCCCTACGTCATAAATCTCGGAATCAAATCACTTGCAAACCCCGCACAGACACTTCTGCTTCCACACTAATTATTTCCCGGCAAGTGGAGGTGCGGTAAAAAATTGCAATTCGCTAATGAAGCAAAATGAAGCCACTAATTTACGGCTTTGCTCAAGACAGTAGCTGCAAATAACTAGTTTTTACTTTTAGCAGGTTGGAATGAGAGGCGGCCGGATCAAAGCCGGCGTTGGGGTCGTAAAACAAAATCTGTTATTGGTCATTACACGAAGAATTTATAAATTGTTAACTGCCGATCTTCGGAAATGTCTTTGTGCAGCGCACCAACAGGTAATAGATGTAAATATTAACTGAGACCGAAGAACCTCGCGTAACTCATCTTTATTGTTACCGAGAAGTTGGTTTCCATGAGGCGAGCTTGCCCTAGAAAATTGTTAACTCGGTAACGTACGATAGGAAGGTAAAATGATTATTTAACATAGGTACGCAGCAAGGAATTTTCAATGTTCCATTTTTTGTCAATTGTAAAAGTTTTAGTAAATGCAAATCAGGAACCAGGAAGTTATCTTTTAAATTTGAAGGTGGTCAGCTGTGGGTCTAACTTTAGTAAATATCTCTATTATTTTTTGGAAATCACAAAATTTATAAAAATATATTTCAACTAAATCTTTTAGTTATCAAAGAAAACAAGAGCTTTGTATAATAATTTAAATAATGTATGGGAATATACAGTATCAAAAAATAAATAAGAATTTTGATAGACAGAGAATCATCAAGTCGAAATAAAAATTAGGTACATAGTTTAATACAGTTAATAAAGTAAAGTTAATTTTATTTAAAAAAAATTACATGCACATGCATCCGTCCTGTTTAACAAACTTCAAGGTATCAGGGCTGACGTTCGGTCACACCCTATGGTGGCTCGGCCCATCTGGGCTTGTCGTTCAGTGTGGTAGTGTCCTCATGTTGCCCTGCCGCAACTCGAATTTTGATGTATTGAGGAAACTTTTTATTTCTCAAAATTCGAAACTGAGGCGATTTCTCTGCGCGTCGCGTGTGTCATCGGTTGTCGCTTTGCCACCAGTGTCAACCTCTGTCGATGCCATCTACTGTGATTTTAGTCGTAGGGAGCGGTTAGGGACTTCGGGGACGCCTTCGTCGGAATTTTCGAAACATACTTGAAAATTTCGATTCTACTCTCCATCTTCTGCTTCACGAGAATGGTCATCGGTACCTACTTTTGTTATACCATAGACGACTTCCTAGTTCAGAATCGAAAGTTGAGTAAAAATCGAAAACGCTTTAGGTATAGGTATTAGAAAATCTGATCGTAATTAGTATATGTATATAAAATTTTAAACATAAACTCTAATGCTTGTTTTAAAAAGTCTCACATGTTGATTCTACTACTGTCATTTTAAAAATGCATTTTTTTAATAATAAATACGAAACTTAATGATTAAATATCCTCATTACATACTTTTTCTTTTCAAGATTTTTTTTGGAAAATCTTAATTATATCTAATATATTTTTTTGTTCTAATTCATTCAGCAAACTCAACCTCTAACGCGACCCTACAATTTATCACGAATTTCACAAAGGAAATGGAAATATTAACAGCCATAATTCATCCCAGCACATTCTCACGTCCCTCTGCTGCCTAATAATACACACACATTTTTATTTCGGAAACGGATGTCACGGGGGTTAGTCGAATTACCCCCAATTAAAATATAAATTTCCAAGGTGGCTCGCTGACCGTGGCTTCCGAAATTAAAGACGAGGGTAAGCGTGGGCTGTCAATATGAGTGAAATTATGACGCCGCGTCGCC